GAAATCATGTCTAATATATTGAAAAAAAGTGAAGATAGTTTGTGGATGTTCTAGTGGAGGAAGTCTATGATAAAAAAAAAATTTGTTATAGCATGAAAGAGGATCTATAGGGCCTAAATTCTTAGTTATTTGTGTAATGGTTTCAGGACATTGGTCATCATAGCTGTGTTGTGAGTTATTATCTAGGTCTGAGTCTGGAAGTAGTTCATTGTCCAAATATAAGTTTGTGTTGGGCTGATTAGTTGATATAGATTGAGATAATAATGTTATTTGTGGCTCATAGGAGGCTAATGGTGTTGAGGATGAAACCACATAGGATATATCTTCTGCAGCGATCACCGTATACCTAGCTTGCACGGCTTCGCAAGATTTAGAAGCTTTCAGATTAAACGTTAGAGAGCCATCATTATCTAAATCTTCCTAGTATAGCATACATTTGATGTATTGTGCAAAATCATATAATAAATAGTTTAAAAGATATAACTTTTTTTTTATATTAATGACATCTTCATTTTCATCTAGAGCAATACAGCATAAGAACTTAGCCAATTTATTGTTTTTTTTTTAAAATTTATTTGTGATTTTTAATAGAGTCGTAAAATAGCGTATAAAAACTGAAAAAGAAAGGATATGTTATTTTTAAATTGTTATATTAGATTAAATTCATTGTTTTGATTTATTATGTAAAAATAAGATATAAATAGAGCATTTAAAAATAAAATAATCCTAATTTGAATATTTATTACTATCAATTGACATAAGTTTTTAATATTGCTGTGGTATTCAAAATGACCCGCTATACAAAAAAAAGAAAGCATATATTGAACATTACTAAAGATCGCGAATCTAAAAAACTAAAAATAAAAAATGATATTTATAAGTTTATTGATTCTTTGAGTCAAACAGAATTAATAGAGATTAGAAATTATATAGACTCAATTACTCCCAAACGGCAAAGCATTATTGAAAAAAAGCTCGATAAATTGATCAATAAAATAAAAAGCTCACCGGACCAGCAAGTTTTGAGAATTGAGCATTTAGTAAACACGATAGTCTATTTTAAAGGCAATATGAAAGGTGAAATATTATTACAATATATACAAAATAAAGTGACTGATTTCGTAAACAGCGGTCTTTTCAAACATTATTCATCAGCTGCTGCTTTTCAAGATGAGATTAAAAAATTAAAACCTGAAAATAAAAAATTAGCAAAAGCATTAGAAAGCTCAAATAATAAACTTAGATCTTCCTGCATGAAAATTGTAAGGGCCGAGAAAACAAAAAATAAAAACATTTCTAAAATTCAATCTATTACTCAGAAGTCAAAGAAGGTCACACCGAGTCAGTTTCATATAGCAGCAAAAAAAATGATAAAACAAAATAAAAATGAATACTCAGCTAAATTTGTCAAACTTGC